GCAGAGAAGTGCACAGTGGCCTCCATAGGGGTGGCCATCTGCTCTGGGCACCCTCTGTGGAGAACAGATTTTCCTCTAGCACTTCTCCCAATTGCTACAGACTGCCTCTCTCTGAGCTCTGCCTATCGACAGGAAGGAGCGCTTCTGAGTTCCCAGTGAGTGTTGTCAGGAATGGTGTCCAAGCCATTCTCTGTCCTTACAACTCTTAGTAGTGCCTGGTATCCCAGTCAGGTCCTGCAGACCATGTAAAGGGCAGCAAGGCTGATGATCATCTCTGTGTCCTAGGACAACAACAGCTCACCCAGGGCTGCCCTCTGCTATGTTCTCCCAAGGTGCCCTTTATGCCATGGAATCCTCGAAGAGCCCCTAGTCTGCCTTGTGTTCTCAATGCTCTGATAAGATGAGAATTATTGCCCACAGTAAAGTGACATAGATGTTTACAAAAGCTGAAAAGGGACCAGCTGAGTGATGCCTGTGGAAAGGGGACAGAACCACTCTCAGTGGAGTCACCAGTCACGGGCATGAAACCCAGGAGAGATTCATGAGGATATGAAGCAGGAGGGGACCTGAGTCCTGAAGAGACATTGGTGGCTCCATCAACTTAGGAAGAGTTTCAGAGGGACCGTCTATCTCCCTGTGATGGTTGAGCCATGCCATGGGTCCATGGGATGCCGCTGACACCTGTCTAGGTGAAGTCCTCATGGGATGTGCCAGGAGTCAGGGGGTGGTAACATAGGATCCTCTGGCAGAGAGGTGTGCTTAGACACACAGGCAGCAACCAGGATGCCTAAGAAGGCTTTACGTGACCTCCAGGTCTACAGGGACATGGATAAAATTAGGCTACAATTAAGCTCATGGCTCCTGGAAATTCCTTTCTAGGTATTGATTTTGTATCCTTCTCTAGCCACCTAATGGTTACGAGAGGAACTGTCCTACGTGTCTGGGAGCTGTCCAGATCAGCACCTCTGTTACTATCTACCTGCAGGAGAGAGTTCCAGAGCTGGACCCTAGAGGGCAATCACTTGCAAAAAGGACTCTGTCCTGTGTTACCTCACTTGGGGATCCTGACCTTCCTGTGAGGTCTCATATTTCTATTCCAACAATTAGTAAGTTGTCTGGGCACCCGACCGGCTATTGTCTCCATCCTGGTGGAAGGCATCCAGGTGACCTAAGCTAACTATAGCTCTCATGATAGTTCACTAGCTGGTTCCACATACCAATAAAGCCTTGCTCCCTGTCAGCTCTAGCAGGAAATAAAAACCAAGAAGTAAGTAACATCTCCCAATTGTCATCTGCAGTCTAGTCAGAGACAGAGATTGGCAGCCAGGGCTTCCTGTCGCTCTCTGTGTGGATCCCATGACTTCATCTCCGGGACCTGCCTGAATCCCACAGTGTCTTTCCAGGGACATGGGCACGGTGAGGGCTCCAAGTATCTTGGATCCATCTGACATCCTGGGGCTGAGTTTATCAAGCACAGGTCCTCTACAGGTAAAGAGAGGTGATGGATTCTGATACATTACTGTTTCTCTACCCCATGTGTGTCTTGCAGTAAGCGTCCAGACCCCCATGAGGGGACACAATGGGGGGGGGGAAGGGGAGCAGGCACAGTTCAGTCCTGGGAGTTCAGTTATGAAGTAGGATAAGCCACACCCAGCAGGTGGAGACCATAAATAATCACTTACTGTATACATTGAGTTGTACATGTGCGTTTTCAGTTTTGAAATCTCTGTTTAAAGTTTGTAGTGTGTAGAACCCTGCATCTCTCTCCATGACATCCTGGAGCAGAAGGGATCCATTGGCGTACACCACTGCTCTTCCGCTGTAGGCAGGCCCCTGGGTGATGTAATTCGTGACTCTGCTATATTCTGCAATTTTAGAACTCTGGGTGCTATACACTGATTTGTACCAGGTAAAGCCTTGCAGATCTTCTGGCAGATTGTGAACAAGGAAAAGAACGCTGTCCCCTTTAACAGCATTCTGTGGCACTGGCTCTATCATGAGTTGGACAGAAGTGAGAGAGTTGCAGCACACAGAATGGGAGGCTGAAAGACAAAAGAAAAACAGTTATCACAAGGATCGTGTGCTTGGTGGAAAGATAGCAACCTTTATCCTAAACAGATGGATCCATCACTCAGCCTAGAGATGAGGGTGTGGGTGTTTGTAACCCACTTGGTGGATGTCAACATCATGACCTTCATTTCCTCAGTGACCCTGAATATGTCATTTCCTCTACATGGAACTCTCTCCTCGGGTGTCTGTACAGCCGTCCCTCACTGCCCTCACTCAAGCTCTGCACACTGAGGTTCAGATTATGCCCCCTCTGAACTTTTTCTCCACAGACTCCACATCCTCATTCTATAGATGGATAAGGGCCAGAGAAATCTGATATTCTTGGCAAGCTCGTCTGTTAGAAAAGGCTTAGATACTAGGATGGCTTCTTTTATGTTGATGTCACACAAGCTACAGTCGATTTGAAAGATGGGAACTCAATTGAAAATGCCACCACCATGTTGGTCTGTGGACAAATATACAATACAGTGTTTTAAATTTAAGTTCTGTTCCTATCCTAAGGGTTCCAGGGTGATATAAGATACAAGGCTGAGGGCTGCAGAGATGGCTCAGGGCTTAAGAGCAGTGACTGTTCTTCCAGAGGTTCTGAGTTCAATTCCCAGCAACCACATGGCGGCTCACAACCATCTGTGATGTGATCTGGTGCCTTCTTCTGGCACACACTGTATACATGATAAATAAATAAATAAACCTTAAAAAAAGCCAGGTGTTGGTGGCGCACGCCTTTCGTCCCAGCACTCGGGAGGCAGAGGCAGGCGGATCTCTGTGAGTTCGAGGCCAGCCTGGTCTCCAGAGCGAGTGCCAGGATAGGCTCCAAAGCTACACAGAGAAACCCTGTCTCGACCCCCCCAAAAGATATAAGGCTAAGCAAGGAATGAAGAACAAACTAATAGGCACCACCCCTCCACTGTCTCAGTACCAGTCCCAAGATTTTATTTATGAAACTCATGTTTGAATTAAATAAATTCCCCAGTTTGGCATGGCCAGCCAAAACCATTGCTCCCATTCAGCACTAAGAGGCATTCATAGTCTTGTCCTGGCAATTTGTCCCCTGTGTTCACTAGTATTTGAGTCTAGGAGAGTGGGGTGTGGTCAACGCTTCCTGGTGACTGCCTCTCTGTTAAGGTGCCACGGTTTCCTCAAGTAGCCCCTGCCTGATGCCTATATTCTCTTTGTTACTGAAATGTGAATTGAGATCCCAATGAAACCGAGCATAGTCTGACATCTTAGGCTGAATGACTTTGCATCTAGCACTTTCTTGATGGAGGGGGAGTCAGATGATGTAGGATGACCCATGACCCTTTGTCTCCATCATTTTGTGTCCATCACTAAGTGCCTAAACACCAACATGGGCACACTGTGCACAGGCCAGAAAAGATACCACAGAACACTGAGTGATCACAGAGAATCACTTACTGTCTACCAGGAGTTTCACATGGACTAATCCAACTTTCAGATCAGTGGTCAGAGTTCGTAGGGTGTAGAATTCAGCGTCATTCCTGGTGACATTCTGGAGCAGCAGGGATCCATTACTGTACATTGTCTCTCTGCCACTGTGTGCAAGGGCCCGCACACTTGAATTTGTGGCTGTTATGTGTCGGGCAACCTCATAGTCTTTGAACAAAATCACTCCTTTGTACCAGAAAATGGCTCGAATATTCTTTGGGAGGTTGTGAACAATTAAAAGAGCACTTCCGCCTTCAGCAACCCTGGGTGGAACTGATTCAATAGTGGGCTGGGCAAAGGTGAGATGGTGCCCACAATGGAAGGCTAGAAGGGAAGAAAGATCCATTAGTTCTAGGACTTTTGTATTTGCCTAAGTTGGGGGCCTGGGTCCTGTGTGTCTTTCTGTCCTACTAGGTGAGTCAGGACATGAGCTCTATGCATTCAGTGTCCTGCACCTGTCATGTTCTCTGTATGACACCCTCTGATCAGTTGTTAATGGGCGCCAGCTCACTGCCCTCAAACCTCTGCTCATATTCAGTCTAGATTGGTGTTGGGAGGGTGACTTCCTGACTTGTTTCCCTACAAACCCTCACACCTGACTCTATGACTTTTCTGTTGTCTATGTTTTTTCCTCTTGTGGTTCCAGGCAACACCTGACTTCACCTTTGAGCTTTCTTTACTGGACTATCTTCAATTTCACTTGGAACATACTTTTGTGAAGACCAGGGTTAATCTCATTTTTTGAAGGCATGCTGCCTAGAAAATGTTCTGCCAGCTGTGGTGAATGAATGAATGAATGAATGAATGAATGAATGAACAGCAGAATGAGCAACACATTTTCCAAGGTCCAGAATGTCCAGAGTTTTCTTTAAGTTTTTAACACTGTCTATTCTGTGTGCTTGTGAATGCATGCAGGTGTGAATACATGTGCATTCCTTCATAGATGTGTATTTGGCCAGGTGCATACCACAGTTCCCATGTGTGGGCAGGGGACAACACTGGGGGGGTAAGATGGTTCTCTTTTTCTGTCATATGAGAGCTGGGGAATAAACTCAGGTCACTAGGTATAGCAGAATTTGCCTTCCCTCAATGAAACACTTCACTGACCCACCTGTTATAGTTGGGAACACCAGTCTTCAGCATACAGCAACCAATTTGATCATCATTGAATAGAAACCAGCTTTCATCCTATCCCTTACCATTTCCTGTTCACTGAGAACTTCCTACTGCTGGACCACTGTCTACCTCTGTATCACCTCCAATAATGGGGCAAGCAGACACCTCGATTCTCCTTCAGACTCTTGTCCTCCTTAGAGATCCCAACCAGCATCTGAGCCCCCCCCCACGGCCAGGGAATTCTCTTCACTTAGGAGACTATCCCTTGCCCATGGTGTCCTTTGGACAATATGAGGATCTTGATACCTTGGAACAGGGTATCAAGGAATTCTCCAAGGAATCCAGCACTGCTATCGCACTCCTCTGTCCCAGAGTCAGCTCTTCTGTTCCAGGGTCAGCTTTGCTGTCCTAGAGTCAGCTCTGCTATCTTGGAGTCAGCTCTGATGTACTTGAGTCAGCACTGCTGTCCTGCCTACCCTGAGCTTAACCTTCTACAAGACAGAAGTCCATCAAAGAGCCACACTGACCATGGGTGGGTCCTTGTCCAAGGCAATTCTCCCTCCTCTCCTTGGCAATGCTTGGTGATTCTGTTCCCAAATCTCTTTCTTTATGTTTCATGCCTCCAGACCACACAGTGAGCAATGGGCCAATAATCATCCCCGTGACCCAAAGTCCAACAGCTCACCCCAGGGCTGACCTCTGCTGTTGTCTGGCCTTGGCTCTGTAGCATCAAAGAGGGGGACACTATAATCCCTATGACTCAGAAACTCTGCTGTGAACCCAGTTGTCCTTGTGTCCACAATGCTCTGGTAAGGTGGAATTTGCTCTCATCCAGAAGGTGACAGATGTCTGTGAGGCCTGGAAAGGGACCACCTGAGTGATGCCCAGGGAAGAACACTCATTGCTTATAACTAGAGTGACCATTCAAGGTCAGATCCAGAACAGACATCCAGGAACAGTTATATCAAGAAATTTATGTCCTGTCTGCTGAGGAGGTCACCTGTGTCCTGGGAAGGTGTGGTGTCACCCTGCTGTTGAGGGTTTCAAATGAAAACCTGAATTACAGGCTCTTTTGTTGACTGAAGTATGGTTCAGGTTTGCCCCTGTTCACCCTGACATTTTAGGGACATCTCTATCCTTTGCTTGGTGATTCCCCCGTGGCCCCCCTCTCTTTCCCTATGCTACAAAGAAGGATCCCAAATATGGTCGCTAGCATAGTAACTTTCTCAGACAAATGAAGCACCAGTAGGTCAGATGGGTCTGTGGGAGGGACCTCCAGGTGTAGTGGGACAGAAATGGAAATCACATACATTTTTCTCATCTTCTCCAGGAAACCAGCACCTTGGGATTTGACTGTGAGCTAATATCACCCCCTGGTGATCAATAGGATGACTGTAGCTCATGTCTGGGAGATGTAAAGACCGTAAGAGCCTGCTACTATTTGGCTTCATGAGGAAAATCCCTGGGGTGGACCCCAGAGGACAAGAAAATACCAAGTGTACCTGTGTTCTCTGTTCTTCACCTTGGGGACCATGATCTTCCTGTGAATTATAATAAGCCCATCAAAAGAGTGGCTGGTGGCCTGAGCACCTGTCTAGCTCTGCCCTCCATGCTGAGTCTCAGAAGGAGGCACCCAGGTGACCTAGCTTGAATGTGTCTCTCAGATCAGAGCACTAGCTGGTTTCACATGCTGTGAAATATGGACACCCAAACACTGTTGTTCCCTCTCAGCTCCATAAGGAAGTAAGAGTCCAAACCTGGCAAAATATTCCCCAAATTCACTTGTATTCAAGCTTTGGAGACAGGGATGGAACCAGGGAATCCTGGTGCGCACCTCTCTCTGAGGATGTCAAGATATGCCTGATGCCAACAGAGTCCTTCTCTGTGCCATGTTCATGGTGAGAACACCAAAGACAAGACTGAGTCTAATGCACTTGCACTGACTTACCCTTTCCCATAACACACATAACATCACACACATCACACACACACACACACACACACACACACACACACACACACACACACACACACACAGAGTCAGAGCAGGATTCTGATCTATGGCCATTTGTCTCTAGTATGTGTGTCCTGCATTGAATGCTCAAACACCAACATGGGACACAGCACACAGAAGGAAGGTATGCACAGGCCAGGCAAGAGACTCCTGTGTGTGTTCACACAACCCAGGACAGAGTGATCACGAAAATCACTTACTATCCAACTGGAGCAGGACACGTACTACTTGATCTTTCAGATCTGTACTCAGAGTTCGTAGGGTGTAGAATCCTGTGTCATTCCAGGTGACATTCTGGAGCAGCAGGGATCCATTGCTGTACACTATCTCTCTGCCACTGTGTGCAGGGCCCAACACAGTTGAATTGGTGGCTACTATGTGGTGGGCAACCTCAAGCTTGTTGAACACAATCTCTCCTTTGTACCAGAAAAGTGTTCCAAGATTCTCCGGGAGATTGTGAACCACTAGAAGAACACTTGTTCCTTCTGCAACGCTGGATGGTACTGATTCAATCGTGGGCTGGGAAGAAGTGGGAGAACGCCCACAGTGGAAGCCTAGAAGGAAGATAGAGATTGATCAACAGCTGGACCCTTGTATTTGGCTAAGGTGAGGCCCTGTGTCCTGAGAAGGTGAGTCCATAGCTTAGCTTAGGTGTGTGAGTGGGTGTCTTCCTGTCATTTACTGACTTCCATGTCCTCAGTGTCCCTGCACTTGTCATTTCCTATATATGGCTCCCTCTGCTCAGATGTCAATATGTCCCTGGCTTATTGTCTCAGACCCCTGCTCACATTCAGTATAGACTGGTGCTCGGCAGATGACTTCTTGGCTTCTTTTCCTCTAGACCATGACACCTGACTGGGTGACTTTTTGTTGTTTCTGTTGTTTACTTTTGTGGTTCCAGTCAGCACCTGACTTCCCCTTTCAACATTTCTTTACTTTAGTACACTGGGATATGGAATTGTGAGAACCTGGATTTGTCTGATGCTTTTTTAAAGGGATGGTGTCTGGAAAATGTGGTGATCGCTTGCTTGTACTAATAAAGCTTGTCTGAAGATCAGAGGATGGAGTTTGCCAGTAGCTAACCATGGAGGTTTGGAGGTCTTCTCAGCCAGATAGGAAGTGAGATGGCTGGGAAGAGATACATTATATGTGGGAAGAGACAGAAACTTGCTTTTTTTTCCCACTGGGAATCTAGTGAGGTAAAGTGGCTTGCCTTGCTCCTTCTTCACTCTGATTTCTCAGAAGTTTCCTCTGTGTTTGACTCCTGGTTTTTGTTATTTAGACCAATTTAAGAACTTCATTAAGAAGAAAAATTTAGACACCTGTATGGAATGAACAAGTGATGTTGCAGGGTCCTGTATGCCCATGGATTTATTTAAGAAATTCCTTGGTTTGGGAAAGCAGAGTTGAATTTTTCCATTTGCTTTGATTTTTATGCTCATTTATGCTTATTTGTGTGTGTGTGTGTGAGTTTGTGTGCTAGGGCGTGTCTCAGGGTGTGGGAGTGGGTTCAGGACACAGTACCTAGGAGGAGTTTAGAGGACTTATGCTCATTAGTCTCAGTTTGTCAGATAATGAAGAAAGTGTTTATATTTACTGAGCCGAATCTCTGATCAACATCAGCTTGTTTTTTTTCCTCTGGGATCCCAAGCTGAGAACACAAGTCTTTAGAACATTGTGGACATGCTGATTAAGTTTTGATAAGAACTAACCACCACCCCCATTACTTTTTCAGATTCACCAAGTATATGAATAAGTTTCCTGCTGCTGAACCTCTGACCTGCTGTGTGTCTTCTCTCCTACAAACCTGGAGTCTCCTCTAAGTCCTTGGCCTCCTTAGGAGGCTCCAAACTGTAGATCAGTCCTCTTCTCTAACACACTATCAACCCATGGTGTCCTCATCTGTGAGCAGGCATCCCTGAGAGTCAGTCACCCATTGCAGAGGGATACAAGGGAGCATCCCTAGTCTCTGTGGCCTTATACACCCTCCTTCTGTGGCACATCTGCTCCCAAGCTCTGCTACCCTTCCCCCAAATGAGCTGAGTCTCCTTCCAGGCAGGAGCATCTCCATGTGCTGTGGGGGGGGGTCTCTGTTCCAAACACTGCTCGCTCCCCTTACTCTCAGGGCCTCCCCTTATCCCTCTCCACTTCTCTCTTTATGCTCCACTTCCAGACCACACAGTGATCAAAAGGGCTGATGAGCTTCCCTGCATCCAGAGACAACAGAAGCTCACCCTGGGGCTGCCCTCGGCTGTGTCCTCTCCCTGGGTCTGTCATCAACAAAGTTGGAGGCTCTCCCCTCCCTGTGGGATACGGAAAATTATCCGGGCACCCAGCCGGCCCTGTTTTTCTCAGTGCTCTAACAGGATGGAAGATCCTCTTAGCAGGAAGGTGGCAGAGATGCTCCTGAGGCTTCAAAGGGACCGGCTGAGTGGTGCCTGGGGAACGGGACAGACCTGCTCGCACTGCCGCTATCAGTCAATGGTGTCATCCAGGATGAAGCCCCAGTAGCAGATGCGTCAGGAGACCCACGGCTGGGGGGTGAGGGATGAGATGACCTGAGCCCTGTGAATAACGCTCTGGACCCCATCATCCCATGCAGACTTTCAGGATGATGCTCCCAATTCCTTTGCTTATGGAGCTGTACGATGAGTCTGCCCATGTGCTCCCTGGCCTCTGGGATGACTTGGACCTCTGTCTGGGTGCTCTGCCTTGGCTACCCCATGTTTCCCTAAGGAAATACATACATTCTGGAACTGGAAATAATCCCCTGGCAGTACAAAAGACTCAGGGAGCAATGAGTAGGTCTGAGAAGACTGTGTCACTGACCTACAGTCTGTAGGGACAGATGTGGGCGCCAGGATACATGGTAAGGTCCAGGTTAGGGAAATACTTTTTCTGAGTGTTGACTGTGTGTCCAAGGCTGCCCCTGGTGATCACTGGGGGAACTGCAGCTCACATATGGGGAGCTGTCCAGATCAGAAGAGCCTGAAGCCATTTATTTGTCAAGAGCAGAGAATTCTCTGAGCTGGACCACAGAGGACAAGCACTTGTCAGGAGAACATGTGTCCTCTCTCCATGCCTTCATTACCCTGGCTTTCTTGAGAAGTCTCAAATGCTCCTCAGGGCAGTTAATGGCCTGGGCACCTATCCAGGTGTGTTCTCCATGCCGAGTCTCGGGAGAAGATGTCCAGGAGACCTAGCCTAAGTGCATCTCTCATGACAGTGCACTGGCTGGTTCCACATGGTACAAGGCTTTGACCACTAGAAAGAACTGTTCCTGACCATAAGGAAGTCAAAATCCAAACTTTGAAATTGCTTCTCTGGACACCAATAGTTGACTCTGGGACAGAGGTCTGGAGCCAGAGCATCCTGGTGCTCACATCTCTCTGAAGATCCCATGTTTTCCTCAACCAGACCCAACATTGATTCCCTCAGGGTCTTTCTCAAGAACACTTTCCTGGTGAGAATCCTGAGAATCTAGACAGAGGCAGATCACCTTGGCTGAGTTACCCCCCATGCACCCACCTGGGTATAAGGTGAATTCAAATGAAGGATTCTGATCTACTATGGTTATTTTCCACCATGTGTGTCCTGCACTAAATTCTCAGACCACAACATGGAGACACAATGCAGAGGGCTGGCGCTTCTGGGTGTGTCCAGTGGAATGAACCCCACCCAGCTCGAGAATTCACAAAGAAGTACTTACAGTACACATGAAGGTACATGGATGTTTTTGATAGAATTTCTCTTGGGCCACTTAAGATTCCTAGGGTATAGACTCCTGTGTCAGCCTGGGTGACATTGCGAATCCACAGGGATCCATTGCGGTACATTGTCTCTCTGCCACTGTGGAATGGACCCAGTGCATGTACATTGTTGTTCTGTACATAGGCAGGTCATGGACAAGGAAAAGAACGTCTTCTCCTTCGACCACTCTGTGTGGCACTGATTCAATGGTGACTTGGGCAATGGCGGGTGGATACCAGCATGTTAAAAGTGAGGCTAGAAGGAAAGAGAGGGAAAGGCGTGAGTATTGAGCAGGTGTGATCTCAACTCATCTTAGGTGTTTGGCTAGCGCTGTGCCCACCCTCCTTGATGGAGGTGAGCAACACAAACTCCATTTCTCAGAGCCTCTGACTGGGTCTTTGCCTCTTTATGGAACAATCTTCTCACTTGTCTGCCTGACCTCAGTGTCTCCATTTCCCTCGTCACAGAAAGAGTACTTGGTGTGAGGAAGCCACTCTCACCTCCTTCTCTGGAGGATCCCCACTTAGACTTTTTTCTCTGTACCCTTTGTGTGATCGGTCAACCCCTGACATCAGTTTCTGGGTACACCAACTTCCAGTCTGATAGAACCAGGGTTTTGTGAGTAGGGGTGTTAGTGTGACCTTTTAGGACGATTCAGTTCCTTAAAAAGTCTCAGAAATCAATGGAGAAGGAAAAACCGCAAGAAGCTGGGCAGTGGTAGCAAATGCCTCCAAGCCCAGCAATCTATATGCAGAGGCAGGTGATTCTCAGAGTGTGAGGCCAGCCTGGTCCACACAGTGAGTTCTAGGACAACCAGGAATATGCAGAGAAATTGGGGTGAGGGAGAAAACAAAAGGGAAGGATGGAGAAGGAAGGAAGGAGACAGAAAAAAAGAGAGGGTGAGAGGGTGAGAGGGAGGAAGGGAGGGACTGAAAGATGGAAGGAGGGAGGAAGGAAAAAAGATGTGTCCTTGGGTTTATCTACAGAATTCCCATTGTAGCTAAGGACAATATTCACACTCAAGAGTGATACACATTTTTACATTCACATATATGATGTATGTACATATTTCTGAAGGCGTGTGTCTCATTGGGCACATAAACACATCCATGTCACAGCATCTGTGTGTGTGGGGGGAGGGGAGGCCGAAAGAGTCTGTTCTCAACATCTACCCTGTGAGAGATGAGGGCTGAATTCACGTTGTCAGGACTCACAACACTGAACCGTCTCTGTGGTCCACTCCTGTTGAGATCTGGAGTCACCCTGTCATGACTGGGGACATCAGGCTTCAGAACACGGCAGCCAATGTGACTCACTTTGAATTGGAAATGTTGGGGCTGTTCCCTCCCCTCACCACCTCCTGTTGGCTGAGAGCTTCAGGGTGCTGAGCCTCTCTCCCTCACTGTACCACCTGAGCCATAACCTCCAACAGAAACCTCAAGTCTCCTCTCCACACCCTGCCCCCTTTTGAAGTCTCCAGCATGCTTCTGAGTTCCCCTCCATCACACATTTAGAGAGTGGGTACACTTACCTGTGAGCAGGAGCCCCTGCCAGAGGGTGCAGCCCTTGCAGGGAATCATAGAGTACTTATCCATCTCGCCTCTCACTGTGTCCTCCTCCCTTGAGGAGGACTTCAGCTCCAACGTGGTGCCCAGGCTCTACAGTCTTCCTCCTTCTAGGATTTGCAGTCTCCCAGGCTGGAGCACTTCCCAGAATTCAATGGGCTCTGGGTGGTGGGGTCTGTGTCCAAGGCTCTGTCCCCTCACTCTCAATGCTGTCCCCATATCCCTCTCAAACTCCCTTTATGTTTCTCCTCCTAGCAACACATTGAGAAACAAGGCTGATAAACATCCTCGGGCCCTCAGAGGACAATGGCTCATCCCAGGCATGACGCCTGATGTGGCCTGGCCTTGGGTCTGTCAGCACCCAAGGGGAAGCCTCCATCCTGTCAATGTGTCTTCGTCACACAAGGACCCAGCTGAGCATCCAGTCTGCCCTGCATCCTCAGTGCTGTGGGAAGGTGGGACTTACTCCTAGTAGGAAGGGGCCAGTGTCTGAGGACTACAAAGGGACCAGCTGAGTGATGAGTAGGGTTGAAAATATATCTTGTATCACTAATGTCACCAGTCAAATTCCTGAACCTGGAGAATAGCCCAGGAGCAATTGTGTGAGGAGTTTCATATCTACGGTGCTGGGACAGAGGTGACCTGTGTATCCTGGAAAGGACTGTGGGCTCTCTCTTTCTATGGAGGTTTTCAAGGCAACCTTCAGCATTATGTGTTGGCTGAGCCTAAGTCCTCCCTGGCATTCCTGGGTCACTTTTGCTCTTTGCCTCGGTGATTCCTGGTGATAATCCTGTCTTCCTCAAGGAGGGAGGGGACTTTCAGGTTCCCCATTCATAAAGATTTTCTCAGACACATGAGGTAGCTCAGGGAAACAATTTCCAGAGGCTTGAGTTTGTGTACTGATGTCGCCCTCTGGGGATCACTGGAAGAACTGCAATCTCATGCCCAGGACTGCAGGAGGCATGGTCAACAAGTCCAATGTACACTGCCTGATACCGTCAGCATAGGTGGGATGTAGCATCTATGATCCTGCTCCCTATGCTCTTCAGAACTCCTAATTCCATCTAGTGTAGGGTAGGTCTAAGCACGGTTTCAGATTTTTCCTGGGAAACCCTGACTATAGTTGAAATAGTGTGCATCCAGAGGTTAGGAATTCTCAGCAGAAATTTTCAGAGAAAAGTCGTTGGGAGTTTCTCTCCAGAGTCAAAGGACAGGAGACAAGTGTATTGTGGCATCTGCACTTTCTGAACCATCATGGATGTCTACGTCCTTTCTTGTCTTTGCCCACAAGGTGATGAAGGGTCTTCTCTTGGGTACAAAGGACATTGATTCAAGTAGATGTGTCTTCTGCCCTTTCCCATACCCTGTCCTATTTTCTTTTCTTGGGCCATAATAAAACAACAGCATTTTAGGAGAAAATAAATGGTCCATTTCCCTTATGGTCTGTGGCGTCGTGTAATAGTGAAGGAAGTCAAGGCAATAAACATGCTGCTTGTTGCTCCCTCTCTTGCTCACACTTAACTAGATTTCTTCTTTTTTCCAAGACAGGGTTTCTCTGTGTAGCTTTGGAGCCTATCCTGACACTCACTCTGGAGACCAGGCTGGCCTCGAACTCACAGAGATCCGCCTGCCTCTGCCTCCCAAGTGCTAGGATTAAAGGCGTGAGCCAGCAACGCCCAGTTTACCTAACTTTCTTGTGAAACCAAAGACCATCTGCCTACGAATTTTATTGCCCAAAGTGCCCTGGGCCTTTCTGAATCAGTTCAGACAGCCCATCCCAGACATGTCCATAGCCGGATCTGATAAAGGCAGTTACTCATTTCAGACTCCCCCCCCCCCCCCCCCCCCCCCCGCCGG